AGATTGGGTTAAGGAAAGTTACACAGAGGCTGAAGTGTTGTGTATTTATGTAGGGAGGGTACGGTGTTGTATTTGTTGCGAATATAACGGGGTGTGAACAAGGTAGTTGACTTCCGTTTGAGTTTTCAAGAAAATCAAGGATTAGGTTGGTTGGGGGTAGGGGTAATCTTGGCAGATTATTTTGTTATTATTATTATTTTTTTTTTTTACTTTTTTTCAATTGTGAGGATTATCCAAAATATTTGTTAGGAGAGATTTAAGAAGCTTTCCCTCTTAATTTTTAATTTTTTAAAATTTTAAATTATTTAATTAGATTTTTTTTAAAAAAATCAAAATCATATTTTGATATGCGTGGGCAGTCCGGGGATCGACCACTACAACTCTTCTCTTCTCAAAAATTCATACATCTCTTATTAATGTATAGTCAATTCGACATTTATTTCTTGAGCACATATTTAAAATCATCCTCAATGAAAAAATTAAATAGAGCACCTAAGAATGTACAAATTAAATCATCTTAATCAACATATATATTCATTAAATAGTGTAGATTGGACTACATTTTTTTTTTTTATCAATCATGGCCTTTAGAGATATACCCCATTTATAAAATAGATGGGTAAATAGTTTATTATAGAAAATATGTAAAAGAATTAAATTCTATTTTCTTTATTTATTAGATTATTCAGAAATACACATGTTGAACACTGAAATTACTAATTGAATTTTTGGTAGTAGATTCATAATCAAAAAAATGTTTGTGATTGTTCCATAAGAAATAAAACAAAAGATACTATGCATCTTTTTCCCCACTAACTACCCACCATCCATTTAAAATTATTTAAGAAATTTTTTTTACTACCCAAGAATTTTTAATAATTATTTATCTAGTTTTTTTAAATACAAGAATGAGAAAAGGAGGATAATTAAGAAAAAAATTTAAAAAAAAATATGGGTTATAAGTCCAGGTGGGACCACTAGTTAATAAATAAAATTGAAAAGATCTCTGTGTTGAACAATCTAAAGAAATACAAGAGATAAGAAAAGAGGAGACTTGTGTTTTATTGATACTGCATAATTCAATTAAATACAAGAAAGTAATTTAACCTAAATATAAAGAGTCTATATATAAGCTAAACAAGGTAGGAAAAGTAAAACACTATTTTACCCTTAATAAACAAAATAACCATATATTTCTTAACATCTCTCCTTAAACTCACGATGCAGCAGCGACAAGCATCGAGAATTTGCCAACTAGAAAACGAAAACGGGAAATAGAATGTGACTTGGTAAAGAAATCTGCAATCTGCAAAAAAAGAAGAAACAAAGAGCAAAGTAATTGTGACATGCTTGAGATGATAGCGAGTAAGGTAACAATCGATCTCAATGTGCTTAGTTTGTTCGTGAAAAACAGAGTTGTGAGCAATCTGAATAGAACTCCTGTTGTCACAATACATAGGAGTGGGATGAGAAAGAGAACCTCCCATATCTGCAAGTAACCAACATAACTAAACAATCTCTTTGGTAGTAGATGTCATAGCATGATATTCTGGTTCGGTTGAAGATTGAGAAACAATAGATTGTTTCTTGCTCTTCCAAGAAATAAAAGAATCATCCAAAAAGATACAGAAACCAGTAACAGATTTGCAATCTGTGGGATCACTGTCATGATCAGCATCAGAGTATGCACACAGCTCCAAGGAAGAGGTGGATGGAAGTAAAAGACTTTGAAAGATTGTACCCCNTCAAAAAGATACAGAAACCAGTAACAGATTTGCAATCTGTGGGATCACTGTCATGATCAGCATCAGAGTATGCACACAACTCCAAGGAAGAGGTGGATGGAAGTAAAAGACTTTGAAAGATTGTACCCCGAAGATACCTCAAAACACGAAGAACTGCTGCCCAATGAACTGTAGTAGGAGAAGCAATAAACTGACTAACAACATATGCAATATCTGGACGAGTAATAGTGAGATATACCAAGCTCCCAACAATNTTGAAAGATTGTACCCCGAAGATACCTCAAAACACGAAGAACCGCTGCCCAATGAACTGTAGTAGGAGAAGCAATAAACTGACTAACAACATATGCAATTTCTAGACGAGTAATAGTGAGATATACCAAGCTCCCAACAATAGTACGGTATAAAGTAGGATCTGACAAAGGTAAACTATCAGAAGAAGAATACTTTGCGTTAACCTCAATGGGAGTATCTACAGTCTTATTATCAGTAAGTCTAGCTCGCTCAAGAATATCTGCAACATATTTCGACTAAGAAAGAAGATAACCTCTGGGTGAGCAGGCTACCTCAATACCTAAGAAAAATCGTAAAGAACACAAATCATTCATTTCAAACTGTCTAGCTAACTCTGTCTTTAAAACTGAAATACCATTAATATCATCACCAGTAATAATTATGTCATCAACATATAAAGACAGAATGATACGACCTGCATCAGTGCACAATAGAAAATTTCTTAAACCAAGCATGAGGTGCTTATTTGAGATCATATAACGCTTTATTGAGCTTGCAAACATACCCAAATTCATGAGAAAAACCAGGAGGGGAAGTCATATAAACTTCTTCTTGAAGATCCCCATTTAAGAAGGTATTTTTAACATCAAGTTGAGAGATATGCTACTGACGAACCGAAGCAACTGCAATAAGAGTACGAATAGTAGTCATTTTTGCAACAGGATCAAATGTCTACTCATAATTCATACCATACTGTTGAGAGTACCCTTTTGCAACTAACCTAGCTTTGTATCGCTCAACAAATCCATCAGAATTGGTCTTAATCTTATACAACCAACAACACTCTTACCAGGAGGTAGAGGAACCAAATCCTAAGTACCTGTATTATGCAAAGCAGAAAGTTTCTCATCCATAACTTGTTGTCAAAGAGGGTCAAGAATGACCTCTTTATAGGAAGAAAGCTCAAAGAGACAATGAATAGAAGCTAAAAATGAAGTAATAGATAAAGAATAACAAGAATAAGTAAAATCTAGTAATTTTGTGGATTTATGAATGTGTGTGGATTGACGTAAAGGTGGATCCACAATCTCAAACGAAGCTTGAGGGACCATCGGAGAGGAGGTAGCTTCAAGTGTGCTTGAGAGTAAAGTGTCAGTACCTGTAAAATGATCAGTGCTGGTATTTGAAGTACTAGAAACCTGATATGACAAACTATCAGAATCCTCAGGAAAAAGGATCTATACGAATAAGATCTGATTTAGTCAAGCTATAAGTAGTGGATGGAATAAAAAAGAAAGGTATATGCTCAAGAAAAATAACATGACGAAACACAAAGCTACCTTAAATGATCAGTGCTGGTATTTGAAATACTAGAAACCTGATATGACAAATTATCAGAATCCTCAGAAAAAGGATTTATACGAATAAGATCTGATTTAGTCAAGCTATAAGTAGTGGATGGAATAAAAAAGAAAGGTATATGTTCAAGAAAACAACATGACGAGACACAAAGTTTTTTAGTTATTGGATCAAAACAACGATACCCCTTTTTACCTTCACCATAACCAAGAAAGACACAAATAGCAGATCGAGAAGACATCTTGTTGCGTTCAACATGAGGACGAAGAATGAAACAAGTACAACCAAAAACTCTAAATAAAGAATAATCAAGGGCATACCCATACAACTTTTCGAAAGGAGAAACACCTAAAATATGAGAAGATGAAATTTTATTACTCAAACCTACAGCAGTAAGAACAGCTTCACCCCAAAACTCACTAGGAACAGAAGAAGACAACAAGAGAGAACGAGCAGTTTCAACAATGTGTCTATGTTTTCTTTCAACAACACCATTTTGCTCAGGAGTACCTGTACACGAAGTTTGGTGAATAGTTCCATCTAAGGCAAGCAACTCATCAAATTTATTAGAAGTGTATTCCCCACCCAAATCACACCTAAAACATTTGATAACAGCAGAATGTTGAGTTTTGACAAGAGCTCGAAAGGCTGTACATATCTCAAAGAATTCAAAACGATGTTTCATTAAATAAATTCAACAATAACGAGTATGATCATCAATAAAAGAAACATAATATCAAGACCCTCCTTTTGTGGCAACAGGAAAAGGTCCTCATACATCAGAATGAATCAAATCAAATGGAGAAGAAGAAACAGAAATACTTCGATTAAAAAGTAAAGTTGCAAATTTTGTTAGTTTACATCCACTACAATCAGAAATATCACAAGTTTGTAAATTTCCTAAAGCCCCTGTGGATGCCAAAAATCTCAAACGAGAAGACGAAACATGACCTAAACGAGAATGCCATAAATAAAAACTAGAAGAAGAATGACTTAAACGAAAAGAAGATAAATTAACACTAGTAGTAGCAGCAGTAACAACTGACACTTTTAACTCATCCAAAATATATAGTCCCCTTTTCCTACGACCTGTCCCAATCAGCTTCTGAGATTGCAGATCCTGCACATAACAAGAAGAAGAGGAAAATGTGACTAAATTTCCAGAATTACATAACTGACCAACATAAGCAAGATTTAATGTGAGTTTTGGAATATGATAAACATTAGGGAGAGACAAGTG